GGACAGTATTGAGGCCCTAGCTGGTTTGGCTCAGTGAGTAGAGTGTCGGCCTGCAGATTGAAGGGCCCCGAGCTAGATTCTGGTCAAGGGCATGTACCTCTGTTGCAGGCCCCTCCTCGGCCCAGGCCCTGATCAGGGTGCATATAGGAGGCAACCAATGAATGTGTTCTCTCACATTGATGTTTCTCTCTGTCTTTCCTTCTCTTTTCCACTCTCTCTAAAAATAAATGAAAAAAAATATCCTTGGGTAAAGATTAAAAAAAGAAAAAGGACTGAGGCCTGGCTGGTATGGCTCAGTGGTTGAGCATTGACCCATGAACCAAAATATTCCTAGTTCATTCTCAGTCAGGGCACATGCCTTGGTTGCAAGCTAGGTCCCCAGGAGGGGGTGTACAGGAGGTAGCCAATCCATGTTTCTCTCATCGATGTCTCCATCTCTCTATCCTCCTCCCTTCCTCTCTCTCTACAAAAAACAAAACAAAAAAAAAACAACGTATTTTTAAATAAAAGTATTGAGTACTTATACATAGACATCCTATATTCAACGAGTTTACAGTCTATTAGAGAAGGAAAACATGCATATAAGTAATTATAGTGCATGAGGAGCATACAATAAGTACCAAAATAAAGTATAGAGAGTACTAAAGGAATATTGAGAGTGATTAATTCTGACTACTGCATTAATATTATTTAACATTTATTTATTGCTTTATATACCGGGTTGGGCAAAAGTAGGTTTACAGGTGTTCATATGGCAAATAATACAATAATTAATAAATAATAATATAAAACTAAAGTCTATGTTTCACATACCCACAATTATAAACCTACTTTTGCCCCATCCTGCACTAATTCATTGATCATACCAGCAATCTCATAAACAGGCACTATTATCCCCATTTTACAGATGAAGAAATTAAGGCATAGAGAAGTTAAGAATCAGGGTATATAGGTTAAATAGCTAGTTAGTAGTTCAGGTTTTAAACTCAGGCAGACTGATTTTATAGCCCATGCTAAAGACTTGATGAAAAAAACAAAACAAAAACAAACACCATTGGAGTTTAGGGAATAATATGTAAGATGTGCAGAGAGAATGGGTGAGAACAGAGAATAGAAGATTAAACAAACTTAAGAAATATATTAGACTCCATGATGAGTATCAATAGAAACTTTGTTAGTAAAGGAAATGATTTTTATGTTTTAAAATCTTGATGTAATTCAATCAATTCAGTAAAAGGAGTCAGTCATCCAAATGAACCAAATACTAAGAATAACTTACTGCAATTCAATATCTTCTATTAAAAAAAAAAAAAGTTCTAGAACACAATCATGACTTTCACAGTGACCTCAACACCCCTACGTAAATAATAAATTTAATTTCACAAAAATCCTATTACAGAAAAACAAAATTCTGTAATTCTGGCTTTGTATATCAAGACTATAAACTTTTTAAGAAACAGTAAATGAATTGTGAGTTTACCATGTATGTCTTCTGTGACAACTTCATCTTTGTCATAATATTTATGTAAGCAAGGTGATCCATTATGAGGATATAATGAGTGATTAATTCCAGAAGCTTCATTAGATATGCACTCTAACCAGTGAAGCAGTCAGACATGGATGCTTAATGCATATTTCTGAGTTAGTAACTGATTGCTCATATAAATAAGTAAAAATTTTATTTTGGCCTCAGTAAATTATGAATAAGCAAAACATGGTACTTTTAAACTCTATTTTCACTTTTTGATAGATATTAATGAAAATTAGATTTTTATTTTAGTAAGCAATAGTAAAATTTAGGTTTAATTTCTTCAAAATCTATACTATAATCAAAGAGTATACAAAATCCAATTACAAGTAGAATAAAAACAGCTAAACTTTTCAAATGTTTTCAAACACTTAAGTTTTTCAAAATCTCAAAAATACTTATAACTAAAATATTAACAAGGTCATTAGTTACTATTTTTATATACTTCATGAGAGGTCAAAACAAATTTTATTTATTTTTATATTAATCCTGATCCAAGAATATTTTCCACTGATTTTTAGAGAACATGAAAAGGAGGGAGAGAGACACAGAAATATCAATGTGAGAGTGACACAGCAATTGGTTATCTACTGCATGGTCTCTGATCAGGGCAAAGGATCGAACCTGCAACCAAGGTATGTGCCCTTGACCAGAATCGAACCAGGGACTCTTCAGTCCGTGTTCTAGTGCTCTAGCCACTGAGCCAAATTGGATAGGGCTTGAATTTTATTTTTATACTAGAGGCCTGGTGCTCGAAATTAGTGCATGGGGGAGGAGGGAGGTGTCCCTCAGCCCAGTCTGCACTCACTCCAAACTGAAACACCTCGAGGGATGTCCAACTACCCATTTAGAAGAAACCAAGATGGCAGCATAGGTAAACATCTAAACTACTACGTTCCACAACAATTTCAAAACTACAACTAAAAGACAAAACGAACAACATCCAGAAGCACAGAAAAGCTGGATGAGTGAAAATTCTAACTAGAAGGAAAGAGGAAAGCACACAGAGAATCAGAGGAGCTGCAAAAGGCTGAGGTACAGAGATACGCGTGTTGGTAACTGAATGCCTGCCTGGGTTTCTCTAGCGCAAAGGAGACAAAAGCTCCCAACTGCGCTAAATCCCAGAACCAACTGTACTGAACCCCAGTTCCAAGCGAGACCTGGGGGACCCAGGCTTATATGGGGGGAAACTGGACTGTCAGGAGGAAACTCAGGGGAGCCACAAAAGGCAGAGGTCTGGAAGTACACGCAAGTGTGAGCAGAGAGGACTGACTGCTGAGTGTGCCTCTGGCTTTCTGTAGTGGGTGGGAAATGGAAGCTCCCCACTACACTGAACTCCATTTCCCGGTGAGAATATGGGAATCCAGATTCATTGGGGGAGAAACTGGACTGTCTGGCCGCAAGCGAAACTCGAGGGCAGCTTACTCTTAGAGGTGCTTGCAGCGATTACAATTACCGAGGGACACTGAGACCCAGGGGCCTCATAGGGCAGGGATGACCAGAAGCCAAGACTATTTGCTCAGCCCTGACATTCTGCTCCATCCAAACCAAGCACAGAGGCTTTTGCAATTTTGCAAGTCTTGTCTCATAAGGCTGTCTCCACTACAGAAGTTCTTCTGGCGTAGAAACAGCTGATACACACAGCCAATTGGCCTGGAGGTCAATTCTCCCAGTGATACCAACAATCAAGACTTAACTATAGCCAAAACCGCATTGGCTCAGTGGATAGAGCATCAGCCCTCGGACTGTAAGGTCCCGGGTTCGATTCCGGTCAAGGGCATGTACCTTCGTTGTGGGCACATCCCTAGTGGGGGGTGTGCAAGAGGCAGCTGGTGGATGATTCTCTCTCATCAATGTTTCTAACTCTCTATCCCTCTCTCTTCCTCTCTGTAAAAAATCAATAAAATATATTTTAAAAAAAAAAGGCTTAACTACAACAAGGCTGAACACACAGTTCACAAAGGAGTGCACCAAGAGTGTCCATTGGGTAGCTTTGTGTGATAGAACACCTAGCACACAAAGCTACCCTACCAATACAGGGAAGCAGTGAAAATGCGGAGACAAAGAAACAGATCACAAATGAAAAAAATGGAGGAAAACAAAGAACTGGATATAGAGTTCAAAACCACGGTTATAAGGTTTTTCAAGAATTTCCTAGAAAAGGCCAATAAATTTAGCGAAATCCTTAAGGATATGAAAAAGGACCAACTACAAATTAAATATACACTAACTGAAATATTATACAGAGACCCAACAGAGACCCAGATTATGAGTAAGATTTAAAGGAGAGAAAAAAAACGCAAGAATAAAGTCAAAGATCTGAAATACAAAGAAGCAAAAAACACTCAACCAGAAAAGAAAAATGAAAAAAGAATCCAAAAATTTGAAGATAGTGTAAGGAGCCTCTGGGACAACTTTAAGTATACCAACATCTGAATTATGGGGATTCCAGAAGAAGAGAAAGAGCAAGATACTGAAAACCTATTTGAAGAAATAATGACTAAAAACTTCCCCCACCTGGTGAAAGAAATAGACTCACAAGTCCAGGAAGTGCACAGAACCCCAAACAAAAGGAATCTAAAGAAGACCACACCAAGACACATCAAAATTAAAATGCCAAGAGCAAATGACAAAGAGATAATATTAAACGCAGCAAGAGAAAAACATTAATTACCTACAAGAGAGCACCCATACAACTATCAGCTGATTTCTCAACAGAAACTATGCAGGCCAGGAGGGAGTGGCAAGAAATATTCAAAGTGATGAATAGTAAGAATCTACAACCAAGATTACTCTACCCAGCAAAGCTATCATTCAGAATTGACGGTCAGATAAAGATCTTCACAGATAAGAAAAAGCTAAAGGAGTTAATCAGCACTAAAACAGTACTATATGAAATGCTGAAAAGTATTCCTTAAAAAAAAGATAAAGATAAAAATTATGAACAACAAATATATATCTATCAACAAGTGAATCTAAAAATCAAGCGAATTAAAAATCTGAGGAACAGAATAAACTGGTGAATATAATAGAATCAGGGGCATAGAAAGGGAGTGGACTGAAAATTCTCAGGGGAAAAGGGGTGTAGGGGGTGCAGGAAGAGACTAGACAAAAATCGTACACCTATGGATGAGGACAGTAGAGAGGAGGTAAGGGCAGAGGGTGGGGTGGGAACTGGGTGGAGGGAACCTATGGGAGGAAAAAGAGGAACAAGTGTAATAATCTGAATAATAAAGTTTTATTAAATTTAAAAAAGGAATGCATGAGCAAATGTTAGAAAAATGTGGGAAATATTAAATCTGAGTGATGTATACATGTGAAAATTTTATAATAAAAATAAATACTTAATGAAGATAGAATAATCAAAATTTTACATATAACCAAAAAGAGGATTAGCAAATTAGAAGATGGATATGAAGTGACTTTCCAGATTATGAGTAAGATTTAAAGGAGAGAAAAAAAACAATCTCACCTTCTTTTGGGCTCACTGCTGCAGGAAGACTATTCCAATCAATGGTCCAAGTAGGACAAGGGTGAGGAGAAAACATCACTTCAATGCCTTTTTCCTAGAAAAGGAAATAGGTACTTTCCAAATTAATGAATTAGTGAAAATCCTATTATGTACTACAAAGCCAAAATTCTATTTTCTATACTAGCATGGCAAAAACATAAAAATTAACCATCACCAGGTTTTCCTCAAAATATTTGATTACATAAGAAATATAACAGTTTTTTTTTATAGCAGTTACTTTCCTATTTTTTTTACACTGAGATAATAAAAAGTAATTATATTTAAAAACTATTACCTGAAGATACATAGAAGTAATGAGCTACCTTGAAATATATTGTGTGTCAAAAAGACACCTGAGGATAAAATTTTATCAAAAACAACCTACACACAAATAATAAATCTTATTAAATAACAATATCTCTAGAAAAGAGTTCCAAGCAGTTCCCAACTTTTTCAATATATCAAAAAAATCTCAGACTTCTTTCCCATGTTAAAAGTTGTGCATTTCTTTACTTGATCAAGAGACAGTGGCATGACATACACATGGATGCCCAGCAGGGGCCACGGCAGCTGACAGCCGGTGGAAGGGGCTCTGGGCTTCCCTGAGCTGGGCCCCCTTCCCAGCTGTGCCTCCTGGGAGGACTGTGTCCTCGGGAAAGGGAACTCCCTTCAGCTTTGGAAAGGCTCGGAGGGGCTGCCTGCCTGGAGGCCAGGGGCCCCCCTCGGCCTGATCTGGACAATCCACACAGGCAAATAGATTAGTGGTTGCTTAGGGCAGAAGCTGAACTTCTGCCCTAAGCAACCACTAATCTATTTGCCTGTGTGGATTTTCTCAGGGTCTTTTTCAAGTGGAATCCTCTGCCTAGAACACTTTCTCCAAACCTTCAATTCATTCAAGTAATTTGCTCAATATCTTCATCTAATCAGATAAGTCTTTTTGACCATCCTACCTAAATAGGACCCCTACCCTGATCATCTCCACTCTCTTATCCCACATTTTTATTATTATTATTTTTTTTGGCACTTATTGCTTAACATGTTTTTTCTTTATTTATTTTCACCACGAGAATGTAAGCACCAGGATAACTGTCCAATTTGTTCTTCATGTATCCAATATTCATACTGGTGTCTGGTATTTAGTAGACACATATATATTTTTTGGACTGACTAAATAAATAAGTAAATTTCAAACTTCTGGAAAATTGTGGATGTAAGAGTATGCCGAAGAATATGAAAGGGAAAAAAATAGTGAGATGTGAGTGTTCTTAAGAAATACTTTACTGTTTTATACTTGCACCAGAGGCCCAGTGCATGAAATTTGTGCACCGGAGGGGGATCCCTCAGCTCAGCCTGAACCCTCTCCAATCCAGGACCCCTACCAGTTTAGGCCAGATTCCTGCAGGCCAAAACAGACAGTAGGACATTTCTTTCATAATCCAGGATTGTTAGCTCCTAACTGATTGCCTGCCTGCCTGCCTGCCTGCCTGATCGTCCCTAACCACCTCAGCGTGCTGGCCTGATAGCCCCCTAACCACTCCCCTATCAGCCTGATCACCCCCCCACTGCCCTCCCCTGCTGGCCTGATCGCCCCCTGACTACTTGCTCCCCCTATGCTGGCCTGATTTCGCCCCTAACTTCTTGCTCCCCTACACTGGCCTGAACTTGTCCCTAACTGCTTGCTCCTCTGCCGACCTGATTGCCGTTAACTACCTCTGCCTCTGGAAGATGTCCAGTCAACCTGGTCTAATTAGCATATTACCCTTTTATTAGTTTAGATTAGCACCAATTTCATGTGTCCTCATGTAATTGGCACAAAATACTATGACTATACAAAAATGAAAAGTTACTGTATAATTAAATGAAAAGTTATTGTATAATTAAAATCAATATAATTTCATAATATATTAATTTGATATAATATTTACTGTCTTTCAGAAATATGTACCAATAGAGAAATCCACTAGAAAGTACCAAAAACCATATCCTGTTGAAAAAAAGAAATTTTATTGTATCTACAATCAAGTTTGAACTAAATAAAAATGAAAATTTTAACTTATTTTCAGATTTGAACACTCCTTTTTTAAATTAAAAGTGTAATATCCCAGTCAATTTTTATACAATCATAAGATTTAAAATAAAAAATAAATCATACAGAATGTATACTATACTCTCGTAATTTATAAATGTAGGAATTTATATCTTTTAGTAAAATGACTTACTGAAGGTCACAATGTCAGCTTAGCTGCAAAGCAGAAAATAGAATCCATGTCACTGATTCCTAATCTAATCTTTGCCCCCAAGTCTATAATTAAACGTGGCAGAGATACTAGGGCAGATTCATTCCTGAGAAATATGGAACTCACTGACAGATGGTCCAGGTTTAAGGATTCCCCACTGGCTTGCCAAAACTTTCTTAGAATTGCACTTAAGTGTAATTTTCAGACCCATCTTTCCTTCTTTTCTGGACTCATGTACTGCGGTCAAACCTGCATCATTAAGGAAGGCTCTGCCAGCCTCTCCGGGCTCCCTCCCCCGTTTCTCTCACAGATTTTCCCTCACTAGGCCTCTTGCATATCTAATCCTACCTTGGAATTCAACTCTTCTTGGAGGACCTGAACTAATAAATCCTCTGTAAATTAAAAATTCAATATCCCTTCATGTTTTTATATCATTACAAAAGAGTTTATTTTTATACTGCTTATTAACTTGTTCTGAATTTACATTTTAGTTAGTTTTAAATATTTAAAATATTTTTAAGTGTATAAAATGCAGATGTCTTTTTTAATGTCATTTATTTCTGGAAAAGCATAGGTAGAAAAATCTGAATTACTGATCTTTCTTTCAAGATTGCACATGTATGCATTAAAAGCACAAATTTTTGGTTGATAAATCCTAAAAATACTAAAACTTAGTATTTTAATATAAAGAGATTACTAATTATTATTTATTTAAGAACATTCAAGAGGTGAACAGCTTAACCATCTGAAGGCATGTCAAAATTTGGACATGCCTTGGAAAACTTCTAAAATCAACTATATAATCCTGTTTCATTGTTTCATCACTAGACTAACAAACGTAGCTAAAGAAATAAGGGACCCGTGTCATTACTAAAATCTTCTCATGCCTTTCTAAATCCCCAAACATGTGTTAACTATAGAACACAAATGATTCCTAACCCAAGTAGAAAATTATCTGAATTTTTTTTTTTGGTATAACTCAGATAGGTGAATAGTTCAAATTACTTCATGAATTCTCTATTCAAATAAATCAAATAGTCAAAGTTAAAAGCAAAACGTTATTGTAGATTGTCTTGAATGGTAAAGAAAGAAAGCCTATTGGTGAAAACTTTTACAATTACTATGAACTAGAAACAAATTATGCTGCAAAGAGAAAAAACTATAAATCCTGTGTTATTACATAAACGAACATTGTACTCAAAGAATAAAATAAAAACAAAATTCAGAGAATTAAAAAACCTTAAATTAAAAAAAAATCTTAGAAAGTAAGTTGAGATATTCATCCTTGCAACAAAAAAATTACCAGGTAAAACAATAAATTTGATAGGTGTGATATGATCTTGTTGTCTTTAATATAAAAAAAAAAGTTTTGAAAAAAATACTGTTTATAAACACATATGCTGACTTATGTGGCTCCAAAGACAAAAAACATTAAAATCCTTCAATTTATGATAACTCAAATGCAAAAGGCTACTAAAAATATTAATTGATCAAGAGTGATATAGGATAGCTATAAATAAGATTTATAACAAATAATGTCAACAAACGATTACAAGTTAGGGTAACATTATCACATGCAATTTTTCAAATAAAATTTTAATAAAAATAATTTCAGTACCATTAACTTGGTCATTGTGGGCCGTGGGCCTCCTATAAATGAAGGATCATTTTGTTCCTCTCCACCCGGGTCTTCATTTAAGTCTGGATGCTGTTCATTTGACGTGGTCAGCAACTCTGGTAAAGGGCAAAACTGGATCCCACATTGAGAAGCTGCTGTTTTTACTCTTGGCACTTCCTGAATCCTTTGGTACCACGCAGCCAGCAGTGGAAATTCTGTCAGCCTTTCAGAAAGTTTCTTGCAGATAATTAACTAGGCAGTAAGAGAACAAAACACAGTATTATATATTTTTTTGTTTATGACAGCTATATTGAAGTAGCTTTACATACCATATAAGTTACATATATTAAGTATACAGTTCAAACAATGAGTTTTAATAAATTTATACAGTTGGGCAACTATCAGTATAATCTAATGCTAGAACACTTACATCACATCAGAAAGTTCCCTTGTGACCATTTTACAGTTCATCTCTGCTCTGTTGGCCAGCTGCAGGTAACCACTATTCTGCTTTCTGTATGTATAATTTTGCCTCTTATGAAATTTCATCTAAATGAAATCATAAAATGTGTTTTATTTTCCACTTAGTATTATTTTACTGAGGTTCATCCAGATAGCTGCATTTATTAGTAGTTTATTTCTGATAATTATGATAGAGCATTTAACGACTTTCATTTATTTACATTGCTCAGATGCTTTCTCTCAAGCACCACCACCAAAGTTCAATTTCCTTAAAATTAGTTTGTTCTTGATTCTTTGTGAGTCACTGAATGTTGTTTCCATAGAAACAGTTATATTGTCACAAATATATTATGACTTATGATTATGAACACGTAAATAAGTAAAAAGGTCAAGTTACAGAAAATTTCTACAAATATATCTAACAATATTCAGTACCAAAGTAGAAGCCAGATAGCACAGAAAGTTAGTTTTAAAAATTCATAGGTGTATATATGTTTATTTTAAGTGGACTTTAAGGTTAAGTAAGCACATATAATTTCCTATAAGGGCAGAGTGGTTTTTTTTGTTTGTTTGTTTTTGTTTTAAAATATATATTTTATTGATTTTTTACAGAGAGGAAGGGAGAAGAATAGAGAGTTATAAACATTGATGAGAGAGAAATATCAATCAGCTGCCTCCTGCACACCTCCCACTTGGGTATGTGCCCACAACCAAGGTACATGCCCCTGATGGTAATCCAACCTACGACCTATTAGTCTGCAAGCTGACGCTCTATCCCCTGAGCCAAACTGGTCAGGGCTAAGGCAGGTTTTATGTTCAACTTGGTACACTGCAACACTTAAAACACTGCCTTGCAAAAAATATGGCTTGTTTAGTGAATGAACAATGATCAAGGAACCATTTATTAACTTCAATCTCTCACACTGCTTTTTATGATCCTTTAGGAGTATGTGAAATCAATATAGATTTTTAACATATCAGGAACAAGACAAGGAAGCCCACTTTCACTACTTCTAGTCAATATATTATTGGAAGTTCTGGCACATCAATCAAACAAGACAAAGAAATAAAAGGCATCCAAATTAGAAAAAAGGAGATAAAATTGTCATTATTTATAGATAACAAGATACTATATGTAGAAAACCCTAAAGATTCTACCAAAAAACTATTATGCAACAAATAAATGACTTCAGTAAAGTTGCAGGATACAGAATCAATATACAAAAATCTGTTGTGTTTGTATACACTAATAGCAAATAATTCGAAGAAGAAATTAACCAAACGGATGAAAGACATGTACTCTGAAAGCTAAAAGACATTGAAGAAAGATATTGAACAATGTAATTGGAAATAATTATATTATTATATTACCTAAAGTAATATATAGATTCAATACAATCTCTATTAAATAACATTGACAAACTTCTCAAAAACACAACTAATCCTAACATTTATATGGAATCACAAAAGACCCTGAACAAATCCAGAGAAAGAACAAAGTAAGAGGTATTATGTTCCCTGATATCAAACTATACTACAAAGATACAATAATCAAAACAGTAGGATACTAGTCTAAAACCCAGATATATAAATCAATGGAACAGAATAGAGATCCCAGAAGTAAGTCATTTCTTATATGGTCAATGAATGTAAGACAAAGACGACAAGGGTATACGATGGAATAAAGACAGTCTCTTTAATAAGTGGTGTTAGCAAAACTGGACAGATACATACAAAAAAGTAAAATTGGACCACTTCCTTACACCACATAAAAAATAAATTAAAAATGAATTAAATATTTAAATGTTAATCCTGAAACTATAAAACTTCTGGAAGAAAACATAGGTAGTAAACTCTTTGACATCACTCTTACCAAAATCTTTTAAAAAATATTTCCTCAAGCAATGGAAACGAAACAAATGGAACTATTATATATATCAAACTGAAAAAATTTTTGCATAGTGAAGAAAACCATCAAGAAAACAAGATAACCTACTGAATGGGAGAAAATATTCACAAATGATACACTGATACAGGGCTAATATCCAGAATATATAAATAACTCATACAACACCAAAAACAAGCAGACAATCTAATGAGAAAATAGGCAGACTACCTGAATAGACATTTCTCTCAAAAAGACATACAGAAGGCAAACAGACACATGAAAAGACATTCAGCATCACTAATCAGCAGAGAAATGTAAATAAAAACCACAATGGTATATCATTTCTCACTTATCAGAATGACTATCATCAATAAATCAACAAATAACAAATGCTGGTGAGGATGTGGAGAAAAGGGAACCCTTGTCCAATAAGGTGGAACTGTAAATTAGTGCAGCCACTATGGAAAACTGTAGAGAGAGCCCTTAAAAAATTAAAAATAGAGTTGCCATATGATCCAGCAATTCCACTTCTGGGCATTTATCTGAAGAAAACAAAAACACTAGCTCAAAAAGATTATGCACCCCTATGTTCATTGTAGCATTACTAGTAATAGCTAAGATGTGGAAGCAACCTTAGTGTTCATTGTTGATGAATAGATTAATGGATAAAGAAGATGGTACAATGCAGCATTTAAAAAAAAAAAATGAATCTTGCCATTTTCAAAAACATGAATGGACCTACAGGTATTATGCTAAGTGAAATAATTCAGACAAAGAACAATACCATATTATCTCACTTATATGTGGAGTCTTAAAAACTAATAAATGAATAAACAAAACATAATAGAAACAGACCCATAGATATAGAAAATAAGCTGGTAATTGTCAAAGGGAAGTAGGTAGGGAAATAGTAATAAAAAGAAGATAAAATGAAAAATAGAAAGTATGAAAGTACACATCATATAGTAACATGGATTATTTTATAAATATATAGAACATAAAGATGTATATTTGCATTTATATGCTCAATCATCTTGGAAAGTGCATTTTACTGTGGAAGTAAAGTTTGAAGTTTGGAAAACACTGCCTAACTTGTGCTCTGAAAGCCAAAAGAGTTTGTAATTCTCACCAAAATTCTTAATTGTGTGGAAATAAATTATGTGCTAAGGGAATTTAGATTAAACTGTGATAAATTAACCAAATAAAAAATGATTTCATCTCTTTACCCTTTTCTTACTCTTTTTGGCAGTGACCTATTCTTACTTGTTAGATGTATATGATATCTTTCCTTCTTTTTAAAAAGAAGTTGTTATTATGTAACAATTAGAGGCCCGGTACATAGATTCATGCACTGGTGGAGTCCTTCAGCCTGGCCTGTGCCCCCTCGCAATCCAGAACCTGGGGAGCGGGGGGGGGGGGGGGTGTGTGTGTGTGTGTTAGACTGCCAGTTTTTGCCCAATCCCCTGTATGGCAGGAAGCCGCAGTTGGGCCAAAACCGGCAGTCCCACATCCCCCGAGGGATGTAGCAGTGCAGGAAATGGCAGGCAGCCAGGAAGAGCCCAAGCTATGAGCTCGGCTTCTGGCTGAGCGGTGCTTCTGCTGTGGGAGCGCACTGACCACCAGGGGGCAGCTCCTGCATTAAGCGTCTCCCACCCTGCTGGTCAGTGCGATGGTTGTTTTGTTATTCTGTCACTTAGGCATATATGTGAAATATATAAAAAATTATACTATCAAAATATATATATATATATATATTTCATATTTAAAAGAAATTGAGTTTTACTTTGTGTGGCAGACCATCTATTACATTTAATCAGCATGCCAGGCTGCTCAGCAACAACCAGACAGTTCAGGAGGCACTGCACCACATTCATTAAATACAAGATGTATTTAAGGAAGTGGCTAATGAAAAATGTATGAAATGAAATTTAAATTTGTTCCTAAAAAAAGGTATTTTTAAAAATTTACCTGGCTGATATGATCAAAACCATCATAAATATCCAGCTTATTTTCTATATCTATGGGTCTGTTTCTATTATGTTTTGTTTATTCATTTATTAGTTTTTAAGATTCCACATATAAGTGAGATAATATGGTTTTGATGGTTTTGATCATATCAGCCAGGTAAATTAAGGACAAGAAAATGAGAATTTATTCTTAAAATAATAATAAAAATTATACTATCAAAAGTACAAAATGAAACCCTTGTGGCTTTGTAATAGGGGCAGAAAAAATTGTTTGCACAAAAAAAAAACAAAAAAAACTGAAGCAAAATACTACATCAATCCAAAATATTTCCTCTGCATTATTTTCCAATTACTTACATAGAACATTTTGTACTTCTTTTATATCATTTTCCTCCTTATGTCTACTCTGTCAAAACATGCCATAAAGAATAAATGCGTAGGTGAACAATGTAATAGCAAGGCAAAAAAAATACTGCTCTCTTGTATTCTTGGCCTTATTTCTGTGACTAAATATCACGGCTTAAGATTCAGCTTTCTGTTTCTGATCCAAACATGGTAACTTGACCTTAATTCCTAATCATGAACTTGATCCTGACCATCACTTCAATATGTGTTAATGCAAGCACAAAGATTCAGCATCATAGCCTCGACTGAACTAAAATGACTGCTTCATAACTCAAGATGACTTAAAAGAGGAAAATACAACTAAAATAACATCAAGGCTTTGGCAAAGAAGGATTAATTCCTGAAGGAAAAGGTACAGATTCAGGAAAAGGAAAAGCAAACAAAAGAAAATATTTTAAGAACTAGCTTACATAGAATTGACAAGAGAAGAATGTAATCATAAGATGCATGAAATAGAAAAGGTTGAGTGTACAAGTTTCCCCCTATTTAAAATTGAGATGAAAACAAGTTTCTCTCTGTAGTATTAGGTAGATTGACTCAGGAGTAGTCAGTAGCTGTACTGCCTGTTTAAAGAGGAGGAATAAACCCTCTCAATTAGGAATACTTCAACCTCAATTGACCCTAATCAGGTAAATAGTATATAAATTAAGCTAAAATCAAATGCAAACTAGTTGAAGATGGATGTCTAGATAATGATCTAAAATTACCTTCATGCAGGTGAATCCAATTTATGTTTTGTTGAGTTTGAAAGCAAATACTCATCTTCTCTATCACCTTGTTTTATTTTCTTTGTAGCAATTACATTATTTAAATATGCATTATCTTTTTTTGTTTACATGTTCATTTCTATCTTATCCTACTAGAATATTAACTCCAAGAGGACTGGACCTTATTTATCTTGCTCATCATGATATTCCTAGTACCTACAGTAGTGTTTATAGTAAGTAGTAGGCTTTCAATAAATTTCTCAAATGAATTCATGGATGTGCCACTTTGATTCAACTTTTATGACATTAGAAGAAAGTGTAGGTATACAAGCAGACCATCAACAGTATTTCATAACATGTAACAAGTGACAGCTCTAATGACTGAAGTTGGTAATAGAGGAGAGAAGTCAGTCTTCAGAGAATTTACGTTGACAAGGAACAAAAAGATATTTTTTCCTTGCCCAGTTCAATGGAAAATATGAATACATATGACATTTAAAATACTAATCAACACCTAAATAATTCCTGAAACTTTTTAATATCCTTTAATTCAGAAGTTATGTTGGTTTCCAATCTTATTTCCATTTTGAAGAAAAGAGAATGTTCTTTAAGAAAATGCCAATTGCCGAAACCGATTTGGCTCAGTGGTAGAGCATCGGTCTGCGAACTGAAAGGTCCCAGGTTCGATTCCGGTCAAGGGCATGTACATTGGTTGTGGGCACATCCCCTGTGGGGGGTGTGCAAGGGGCAGTTGGTCAATGTTTCTCTCTCATTGACCAACTATCTATCCCTCTCTCCTCCTCTCTGTAAAAAAATCAATAAAATATATATATTTAAAAAGAAAATGCCAATTGATTAATACCACCTTAGTGAAGCTTTGGCCTCCAAATATATAGATTTTCCTTAGAAGTATTTTCTCACCTGTCAGTAGAGATAGCTGAAATGTTGATAATATATAATGAAAATGAAATCTGGTACCTGATTACTTAGTAGGGAAAAGGTAATATACTTCAAACCAGGAAAAATGCAGCTCTTGAAAACCAACTGGAAAGCTGCAGAGAGATATAGATTCCCATGTTCACTCTGATGTTATTTTAACCTTGATCTTTTTCCTCCATACAGGGAGGGGAGGGAGAGTGGGGGAATGTATATATCTCCATGCCCCAAGTAGAAAATAAAACTTTCCATGTAATTTTATGGTCAACAGAGAGGCATACAGATGAGGATAAAATATTTCTGATTTAATAACAACATAATTAAATTAGTGTTTTAAGTAACTACTTAATTATAAAATACAGCTGACAAGACTTTTATTATTTTTTAATTTATTTTTTTAAATATATTTTTATTTATTTCAGAGAGAAAGGGAGAGGGAGATAGAAACATCAATGATAAGAGAGAGAATCATTGATTGGCTGCCTCCTTCAGGCCCCACACTAGAGGTAGAGCCCAAGACCCAAGCATGTACTCTGACCGGGAATTGAACCATGACTTCCTGGTTCATAGGTCGACACTCAATCACAAGGCAGGCTAGCGGACAAGACTTTTAGGTGCTTTAACAGTGGAACCTCTAGTATTAAAAGAGAATCACAATAGCAATTTGAAATTAATTATCATAACCATTGATAGATAATATTTTAACAACTCAAAATTTAAAGTCATGATAATTACATTTATTGAGAGTTTACTATGTACCAAACACTGTTGTCCACAGTTTACACAAGTTATCATTTATTCCTCACACTCATCCTATTAGATAGGTACTATTATTAGCCCTATTTTACAGAGAAGAAAATGGAGACAGATATTAATAACTTGCCCAGGAGCATAACAATCATGACAAGTGGAATTGGGATTCAAACTTAAGCAATTTTATACGCTGAAACTCACAATAATGTACCCATTCCAGACCAATCTTACCAAAAAATGATGGACACAGGGCAAGAGCACGATGTCTGTCAAAGTGAAGTAAAGGCCTTCTGCAAACACATGCTCCAGAGGGGGCAGGTCAGAGGCCTTTGCTTTTCTTATGTGAGCCGGTTCCCTGGTGGGAGCAGCTGGTTCTTCCCGGACTGTGAGCTTTGAGAATGCCACTTCCAGTTCCAGGCTCTTGGACAAAGGGTCCAACACATCCGATGTTTCCTGTCTCTGGGCCTTGCTCTTCATTTTTGTTTTTTCCTTGATACCGGAAGGCCCCACTCTGGCAGCCTTCTGTTGCCTCAGCTTCTGCCGACGGAGCTTGTCATCGTTGTGCACTCTAACAGGCTCACTAAGCTTTTTCTCCAGCTGTAGAATTTCTGCAGGAATGCTTGGGCGCTGCTCAGAAGATTCTTTGAGAAAATTCTCAATAGCTAAAGGGATGGTGAGTTCACATAGCCTGGTCCACTGACTAACCTACAAAGTAAAACATGAAATAATTCTTTACTTTCAACATAGCTTGAATAACTTTTTATTGGGAAATAAAGCTGGCTTAGTGAATTTGTCTTGATGTAAACCATTCCCGGGCTAGGCTATTATGCTATATGAAGACATATTTACAGTGCTTCAGAAGTGCTAACATCAAACAATGGAGGTTTAGCAGTCATGTATCTGGAATATATGCTCTCCACCTGTATCCTCTTACTAAATAAATCCTTACTTCCCAAAGCTTTTAAAGTATACCATCACCCAAAAAAGGTGGGTTTCCAAACCACTGCTACTTAAACTCCCTGTTCATCAGTATGGAGTTTCCTCAAAATCTGAAAATAGAATTCCCATTTGACCCAGTAATCCCACTCCTAGGAATATATCCCAAGAAACTAGAAACATCAATCAAAAAAGATATATGCACCCCTATGTTCATAGCAGCACAATCTACAATAGCTAGGATTTGGAAACAGCCTAAGTGCCCGTCAGCAGATGATTGGATCAGAAAACTATGGTATTATACATCTACACAATGGAATACTATGCTGCCACAAAAAAGGAATTCTTATCATTTAGCGACCTGGATGGAATTGGAGAACATTACGCTGAGTGAAATAGGCCAGTCAATGAAAGAAAAACTCCACATGACTTCACTCATTTATGGATAATAAGAAACATTATAAACCGATGAACAAAAAGATAGATACAGAGACAGTAAAGAAACAAACAGACTGTCAAATTACAGCGGGGAGGGTAGGGAGATATGGGGGAGATAAGAGATCAACCGAAGGACTTGTATGCAGCATATAAGCATAACCAACAGAGGAAAAACTATGGAGAGGGAGGGCATATCTGGGAATGGAGGGTGAAGGGGGATTGGTAAGGTATGTACACATATAATATCTTAATAAAAAATAAAAAAAATAAACTCCCTGTTCATATGTAAAAGTTCCCTTTGTGTAATTAAAAGATTAAGAAAAAAAAGTAATTCTCTTAAATAATATCTCCAAGCCTCATTAATTAAATCTAAAATTCATATTTTTTCAATACTGCACTGAATTATTGGCATACATGAGGGGCTACATTATTTCATTGGTTAGTGTAGGTTTTCTTTTTAAGGAAATCAAGTTCTAATTTCCAGTAGAAAGTTAGATGTTTAAGTGAATGTGTCATCACTATATGGCTTGAATAATAGAAAAGAGACATTATACTTACCTCAGCACAGGCTTTTAAGCAAGTCTTTTTAAAACCCAGAAGTTCCAAAACTTCCTTCTTCGAGGGGTCTGCTTCATATGATTTCTGGATTATGTGTCTCAGTACAACAGCAAGTCCTGCTCTACAGAAATTGTCTGGTCTTTCTACTACTGCAGGTAAACAGCAATTCTGGACTATAGGTGGGAGCTCTTGTTTTGAAATAATCTGTACTTCAACATCCTGTGACAGTACATTTTTAAGTAGTGAAACATCTGTACTTTCTCTTTTGAGTACTAAGTAAACTTTAAAGATTTTGCAGTCACAGTATGATAACAAAAATAAAGTCACAGATGTATGAAGTGGGAAAATGCATCTTTCTATTTGGTGAGAGAAATCCAGGTACAGATATTCTTCTGCAAGACTTTTCTTAATGCCTTTCATTTTCTTCTTTGATCGGATCAGCTGAAACAAAAATTGAAGTGGTTATAGGCCTTATAATATAATAATTTAGAAGCTACAAGATGAATATTTTTAAAGCATGTCTAAAAATCAGCAAGGATTTGTGATAGATGATATTCTACATGAATTTGTTCCTGTATTGAATAAATGGCTTTCAAAACAAAAATTTCCACCTTTGCAATTAACTAATCTTTGGGATGATTTTATACCGAGCTCCTTTAAAATGAGCAAACTCGGCCTGGCTGGTTGCTAAGTGGTTAGAGCGCCGGCCGGTGAACTGAAGGGTCTCAGGTTCGATTCCAATTCCCAATTCCCGGTTGGTCGGGGGCACATGCCTTGGTTGCAGGCTCATTCCGGCCTCTGCTGGTGCCTGTGTGGGAAGCAACCAATCAATGAGTCTTTTTCACACCCGTGTTTCTGTTTCTCTGTCTTTCCCCCCCACTTCCACTCTCTCAAGAAAAATCAATGGAAAAAGTATCCTCTGGTGACAATTATCAAGCAAATAAATAAATAAAATGAGCAAAGGCAGGTGTTTTGCAATAGAGCCTTCCCCATCAAGTACTTTGAGGTTTCACTACAGGTGAGGAAAAGACATGAATAGAATGGAAAATAGGAAATCACCAAGAATATTGAGAGTTATCTGGGGCTGATAAACCTTGAGAAGCTTTGATAGTGCTGTTCCTCCCACACTGTTTCTGATTTATGACCCTAGGACGTAATAGTCAAGGGGGATATATTTATTTCCTCACGAGAAATGAATTCTCCCAAAATAAGTGGGTTTTGTTATGTGGTAAGCTACTGCATGCTGGGTCACAAGAGAAAAATAATTGAGTTTCCCCATAATTTAGATGTTGATAACTGAGATAGCACAAAGTTAACATATCCAAAATCGAGTTCCTTATTTTTCCCTACTTCCAAATCTGTTCCTCAGGTATCTTTCCTGTCTCAGATAACAGAACACCCTTCTTCTAGCTGCTTATGCCCAAACCGGGGAGTCATTGTTAATTCTCTGTTCTTTCACACCTCCATAACCAGTCCACTAAAAAGGTTATTTTGGCCCAGCCAGTATGGCTCCATGGTTGAGCATCAACTTCTGAACTGGAGATCAGGTTTGATTCCTGGTCAGGGCACATGCCCAAGTTGTGGGCTTATCTCTAGTAGAGGGTGTGCAACTGACCCATCACCTACCTTCCTAATTATAGCATTTGCTTCCTAACTTTGCTTCCCATCCTACCTCACCCTCCAGTCTATTTTCAACAGAGCAGCCAAAGTGATCCTGTCCAAAATGAAGTAAGATTACGTCACTACTCCGCTCAAACCCTCCAATATCTTCCCATTCTACTCAGAGAAAAAGGCAGTTCTACAATGGTGTACAAAGATCTCTTTAATATAATCCTCTTTTTTTGTCTATGAGTTCATATCAACTCTCCCCATTGCTCACTGCTTCAGCCAAAGTGCCTTGTTAGATAGTAGGTACATTCTCACCTCAAGGCCTTTGCACTTGATGATTCCAGTGCCTGGAACACTCATCTCCTTTAGACACTTACTCAAATAAGAACTTCTGAGATCTTCCCTGCCTATAATATTTAAGTCTGGAACCCCAACACATACCTTCCCTGAAAAAAAAAAAAAAAAGCCTTCTATGCTTTTCTTCATAGCTCTCATCACTGTTGCAACATGCTATCTACAGGATATACCCCCAAAATGTAACACTATAATAGCTAATAGCTCAATTTTGAAAATGAAATGTATTTTAATAAACTTTAGAATTATTCAAAGTGTGTGTATACACTTTTGGGGACACCGTATATTCATTTTGTCTGTCTAAACTAAAATGTTCCATGACTAGAAATTTTGTTCACTTCTATGCCTAAAATAGGACCCAACTTTATATATATTATACATGGAATCAATAAGTATTTATTGAATGAATGCATGGATGAATCTACACATTCGCTATTTTAAAAATGCAAACATACACAATTTTGAGGTCTAATTATTGATGGTATTTTCAAGTCATAGTCCTTAAGACTTTTGTTATTTATAACTTTTTGTTTGATTTACACATTTCCTAGGTCTAAAATTCCCCATGCTCTTATCCATAAATCACAATTCAAAAATTAACACTAGATGGCACTCTTTGAAAGCAATCACCATGGAAGCATGTAGTAATAGGAAGATGGTATTATTAGAGAAAATTTTATTTTAAAAGCCCTTAAAAGTACACATGCAACTCTGTTAAGTGTATTGGAAATATTAGTGTACCCTAATTATAAGAAACCTTAAGCATACTAAATTTCCTTTAAGATTCTAAATTCCTTTTTTTTTTTTTTTTTAAATCAAAAGCAGAATAGTCAAATACTCTTTAAGGTTTTGGCTCTCAATCTTTTTTTTTAATAAAGAGATAATAATCCATTATACAAATGTATGTAGTTACTAAGATATTGAATTTAAAAAACACTTAATAATGCAAACAATCTCTAATATTGTTTTATATTTCTTTTATTAAAACATAACACATATGCACCATAGATTGCTACTTCTTTAAAAGGTTATTTAGACTAGAAAATTTATTTCATGTAATTTAAAAGCAACTACTTTTTAGCCCATGGAAACCATTTTTCCCTGAGCTTAATTACTTTTTTTTTTAAACCTAGAGCTGATTTATATATAAAAAAGTATTAAAGCCCAGAGGCAAAAGAAACCATTTTCTAAGAAATGGACAGTCTCTGTGGAACTTGTCCCTGCAAATCTATTGCTGACTAACTTGCCAATCCTCTTAACGTCTTCTTCGGACAGTGGGTTACTATAAAGAAGATCCTAAGTGCATAGTGAAGACCTTGGGGGAGAGGGGGAGAGGAGGAGGCTGAGAGGAAGGGGTATAGGCAGAAAAAATGGAGGGTGATATCTGTAACACTGTCAACAATAAAAATATTTTTTTTTTAAAAAAGGTTCCTACATGCTTCAAGAACCAGATTTGAAATAAAACATGATAGATTTCATTTGCCCAGCAATCTAGGAAACAGTAATTATGAGACTGGTCCTAACACTTAAAAAAAAACAAATAACAAATAAAACATCTGGAAAGCAATGTCATGCTATGTTACAGTTTTTGATTTAGGAAATATAGAATTTTCCTTAAAAATTAAGGTTCGTGTATATTTGCCAATTCTAAGGGGCATAAGAACCTTGAGAACAGACTTTTACCTGTTATATAAACTACTCTCTCCATAAGCACTTATAAATGCTAAATGTCAATGAGATAGAATAGTAATAATCTACCCATGCAGATATCTGAAAATTAATGAGATGCCTGAGAGAAAATGCAAAGTACTACTAAGTCTTAACAAAATTTATTTTTCCCAATAAAGATGTTGATGTTTTCTTCCTAGGAGATTAAAAATGTTACTTAATGATCTTGGAGTTAAAAAAAAATTACCCTCCCTGGGCAATTTATCCTCATAAAGCACTAATGTAATTCCTAAAATAAATATTAAGTATTAGCAAACTTGTACAAATTTTATGTTTTGGGCTTGTACTATCTAATTTTTCAACATGCTTTAAGTTTATAAATAACATAGGCAAAGAAAACCTTCTTTTCCTTCTCCATGTCTACCTAGAAAATCCCTTTGCTTGTTAATTTTGTGTCATTGAGCTTTAAAAGAGATAGGTAGGCTCTGTAGAATCATCTCCTGGGTCCCCAGAGCTTCTGGGACACAGCCCTTGTTACTCCATATTACATTCCTGAAATGAAGTAACACATAAAACCATGAAGTTTAGGAGCTGAACAGAGCGTTGGAGTGTGCATCTGCTCTCTGGACATGCCAGTTTGCTAGGAATATTACAGGGGGGATAAATAAGTTTTTTAAAAAATGCTTAAGCCTTGTTTTTATTACTTGGAAATCTTCAAAGATAGTATAAACAAAGTAGTGATAGTTTTAATATTGTAGGCATTTAGGCTTTTTTGCATTCTCATTCTAATTAGTATCTTAGAGAGAGAGAGAGAGAGAAACATATTGAAAATAAGCAGATTTCTTCAGAAGTAAAAAAATAAAATAAAAAACTTTTATGCTTAAAAATCAAGCCTCGATCTATAGCAACTAAATATTATGTAATAGATAAGATATATATTATATGATAAAAAAACAAAAAGCAAAAAACTGCAACAAAACATTGAATAGTTGATTTGTTTTCAAGTAAGAACATATTACTATATCTGGAATTTAATAGGAGCTTAATAGATAAATGAATAAACACAAAATACAATTGTACATAATATTAAGTACATTTTATTTTCCACCCACTATGTGCTAAGCACAGAGAATTTTAGATATTACTTCTAATCTTCACAATCCTTGAAAGTACATTTTACTTCCATTACATGAATGAGAACCATACATCAATCCAAAAGATTTATTTGAATCTATAATGGGATCATATTTGAAAACATTCAGGAATTAGAATTTTTCTAATGTAAATAGAACTGTTTTATAAACTCCAAATTTCAAAAACTGAAGCATATTGAAATTTTATTGCAGCAACATTTCAGTTTCCTGTAGGCAACAGTGCCAGACAAGGGTACATTTCATCCCCTGTTTAATCTCTACGCAGGACATATATGGAAAACTGGGCCAGGCTCAAAAGGGTGAAGACTGGTGGAATAAATATCTATAACTTAAGATGCATAAATGACACCATTCTACTAACAGAAAGCAGTAATGATTTGAAACAACTTCTGATGAAAGTGAAAGAAGTGTCAAAGTAGGACTGCATTTGAACATTCAGACAAAAATTATAACTACAGAATACTCAATTTTAACAATGAAAACTGAAATTGCTAAAGATTTTGCTTACCTTGGTTCAATCAATAATTCAAATGACTGTAGCCAAGAAATCAAGAGAATGCTCAGACTTGGAAGGCACCAAGAGCAAAGATGAGTCATTAGAGACCAAGGTTAAGATCATCAACACCCTCATATTCC